CATTGAGAAAAATAAAAACAAGTGAGTTCACACAGAGACTATTCTACCTAGGTTCTTTTTTTAAAAATTTTATTTAAGGAGAAAAAGAAAAGAAAGCATAAAAAGCGTACAAGTTATACAGAATTTCAGAAAAAAATAAACAGTAGGAAGTCACTAGTTAATGGATTACATATTGTCATCTTACAAATATTTGTTCAAGTTATAAAATTAAAGCATATAAAGTGGACATTCAAACAGTGAGACTGCAAGCAGTTCTGTTCAATGATCCAACAAAACTCAGTAAAATCATTGTCTATCTTATACACTTAAATATACATGCAGTTACATCCTTTAGAGCACTTTCTTTTCCTCTCTTTTGTACAATGACTATTACACATTTTGGGTTTTATTACTCCCACAGTTCTTATTACTTTTTTTGGAAGAGAGTAAAACCAAACCTGACATAACAGAACAGAGTCGGTCAAATCAAAAGGGTGGACATAATAGATAATGTAAAAACATAATACAAGGTGATCAACAATGGTTACCATAATGCCTCCTGCTATCTCAAATAGAATTGCCTATATCATCAGTTATAATAAAATTGAACAAAACAGTAAAGAACAAAACCAACAAAACCAAAATATTGAGACATTACAGGATTTCAAAAGTATGTAATAGTCAATCAGAATGGGCATCATAATGAATCCCACAATCTTCACAGCTGTTGCCTAAACTTTCGAACCTGGTACTATCAAGCAAAACAGAATAGAGGAACATCAGTCAAAAAAGATAGTGAGAGCAATACAGGGATTCAAATCAAGTCAATAGAAAATCAAAGTGGGTTACTATAATATATCCTGCTATTTTTTTATTTATTTTTCCCTTAATTAAAAGGATAAAAATAAAAAAGTAAATAATAAAATGGAGATTGAGATAAGAGGGCATAACAACAAAACAGTGCAGATCAAAACATAACCATTTAAGCAAAATAGTGTTTCACCACAAGATAATCCCGACATAAAAGTAGTTACTATATTGTCTCTTTCCTTGAAATGTTTGAGTATAACTTTGTATACTATAGCATCAAATATATCAAAACAATGTAAAACCATTTAAGAGAATGACAGTATTACAGGGTATTTAGAATCAACTAACAGAAAATGAACAATAGTTTCTGTATAATCTCATTGTCTATAAATGTTTTTGTTTATACTATCACATATAATAACATCCAATAAGATACAACATGTTAAGACCTATGGAGGCAGAAGAACAAAAGTTTGATGGGACTTCAAAACAAGATGATACTAAATCAGCATTACCTATTATGACGTCATTTTCTCCAAAATAGCTGTTCCTATCATCCAATCTTCTCTGCCTCCTTTCTGTTGAGCTCTTTTTCTGTCATTAGTTGTCAGTTTGTCTTCTTCATTTTGCTTTCTGCTCCATTCATTGTGGCCTCTCTGCCACTATTTCTGGATTCTTCGAATTTTTCTTTTTTAGAATATCCTGCAGTATTCTCTGTAGAGTTGAATTGGTGGTTGCAAATTCCCCTAGTTCCTCTTTATCCTGGAAGCACCTTGTTTTTCCACTAATTTCCAGGGATAGTTGTGCGGGATATATCAATCTTGGCTGGAGGTTATTATCTTTCAAAGCTAGAATTATTTCCCCCCACGCTCTTCATGATTTGATGGTTTGTGCCGAGAAGTCTGCTGTAATTCTGATGGGTGTTCCCTTGTAAGTGATCTGTTTCTTGTCTCTGACAGCTTTTAATATTCTGTTCTTATATTGGATTTCTGGAATTTTGATTATTATATGCCTGGGTGTTGTTCTGTTTGGGTTGTAGGTGGCTGGGGTCCTGCATGCTTCATACATCTGAGTATCTTTACCTTTTGCTAAATTAGGAAAATTCTCCCGGATTATTTCTGCGAGTAGCTTTTGTAGTTCATTTGTTTGTGTCCCTACCTGTTCTTTTATGTTCTTAATTCTTAAGTTATAGATTCTCTTATTATCTTCTAGCCTTTGTATTATTGCTGTTTGTTTCTTTGTTATTTTTAAGAAGTTTTTCATTTCATGCTCCCATATTACAAATCTGCCTTCCAGTTCAGATAATCTATCCTTAGTTTCTTTCAAGCTGTTATGCCAGTTTTTGATAGAGTTTTTAAGTTTCCTGGTAATCTCTTTGAACCTGCTTCACGTATTCTATGTTTTCTCTATTTTCTCCATCAAACAATTCTCCCCTCTTTTTCTGTTCTTCCATTCCACCATCTGTTTTTTCTTGGGTGTGCTTAGCATTTCTCTAACTATTCTGCTTATGTCTTGCTTCAGGTCATTAATAACTTCATTCCTGAACTTGTCTTTGAGGCTCTGGAGATAGCACTTTATGTCTATTGGTGCTGTGTCTGCTATTGCCTGTTTCTCAGGATTGGGGGCCGAGAAGCCTTTCTTGTTGCTCCCTCTTCCCATATTCTTTGTTTCTTATATATGCAAGCGTATATAGGAGGCCCAGCTTCCTTCCCTGTCAGCCACAGTCTGATTGAATTGCATCGGCTAGGTGTTCCCACCCACTGCAGCACACCAAGGAGATACCGACCAGGCAGCCTATGCGGGGCCTGCCCCTCCAGGTCAACCTACCGATGGCTTCACCACTAAGGTGCACCTCTAGGGGCTGGGACCTGGGTTGGGCTAGCCTACTGGGTCTCAGCCAGCAGCGTCACATAGGCTAGCCACTGCTCACCAATCCCGCTTGGGAGGAGGTATTTGACTGAAGTCATTATAGCGCCCTGTCCGGCAAGTCTGCCTGGTCCCAGAATGTCCTCTGTTGGAGCCTCTAGACCGTGGAAGAGTCCCAGTTTTTTCCCTCATTCACTGCACGTAGATGGCATGGCTCCCCGCCCATACTGCTCTCAACTCCATTCACTGATTCCCGTTCTCAGAGCTTTCACGTGTCTCTCTCCCTGCTGAGCCGATTCAGATGCAGTAGCAGCGGCAGGAAACCCGAATCGCGGCTTCCAATGGCTCGGGCTCCAGGTTCCACGCTGAGGCTTTATCTGTTCCTGTTATAGCACCAGGATTGCATTCCCAGTTGGTTTCTCTCAGCCCAGTTTGTTCTTGGGTCAGCAGCGTATATCTCCTCTTGCTTAGGATTCCTCACTCTGCACCATTCCTGGATTCTAAGCTGGGTCTCTCAGAGAGCCTCTGTAGCTGCTGCTATCTGTCTGCCATGTTCTCCCGGAAGTCCCCTACCTAGGGTCTTTTGAGAAGGTCTCTCTCTTTGCGCTGCTGGTGATAGAATGTAGGAGCTATCACTGAGCCACCTAGCACTTTTAAATTTTTAAATTTTCATACAGTTTCTTACCCAGGGTAGGCTTGAACTTGAGATCCTCTTGCCTCAGCCTCTCAGAGTGCTAGGATTACAAGTGTTTATCAACATGCCTGGCAGAGTCTTTCTTATAAGGTGTCATTTGAAGAATCTGAATGAAATGTGGGGAAGAGTGTTTCAAGATAAGTGAATAGTAAGTAGTTTTAAGGTTCCTGAGCCAGGAAGAAGACTAGGGAAGTGGCACAAGATAGGTGGGAAACATGGTGACCAACTAAGACGCAACCATATAATCCAGGCCAAGATGGCAGTGGCTTGGTTCATAATGATTATAGTGGAATTAACAAGAAGTGAATTTGGGGAGGGTGCTGGGGATTGAACCTAGGGCCTTGTACATGCCAGGTAACTACTCTACAATTCTGGTATTTCGAAGGTAGTACTGACAAGATTGTTAAAGGGCAGAAAATAGAATTTAAGAAGAAGAGGTACATCCAGGATACCTTTCAGGTTTTGGTCCTGGTGAACTAGAAGGGCAATGGCCTCACTCCCTGAATGAGGTAAGGCGGAGGGCAGTGTAGGGATTTAGGTTGTTGGGGACAGGATGCGCTGAATGTGAATCACTGGTATCTAAGTGTGGAGGTCAAAGAGGGGCTCGAGGTAGGAAACAAACCTGAGCCCTCAGCCCACAGCCTAGGTATAAGGGATACCTAGGCAGTGAGAGTAGACAGAAAGAGCGCAAGGCACACGGCCTGGGGCCTTCTCCAACAACTGGGGAGGACTGGTGAACTTCTAAAAGGAAGTGGAAGAGTACCAATAAAAGGAGAAAGATCTGGAAGAGCTGCTATTCAGAAAGACAAACGAAGACTGAAGGTTCCCTATGATGACAACCAAGTGTCCCTCCTCAGCCCGTTTGCTCTGTGGAGACAGTAACAATGCCTTTTTCAGGACGCATACTGGCATACAGCAAACCCAAAATACAGTAGGTAGGCCACGTGGTGCACACCTGTCATCCTAGCACCTGGGAGGCTAAGGTAGGGGGATCGCTATGAGTTCAAGACCCGCTTGGTTACAAAGTGCGTTCAAGGCCAGGCTGCACGGAGCTAGGCCGGCCTCAGCGATTCCCTGGTGGGCCAACACGCGGATCCTGAGAGGTGAGAAGTGGCAGCTCCGTCCACCTTCCTCATCGCAGGCTTCTCCTTGGGTCAGCGGGACCTAGTCAGGCAGGAGCGGGGATTTCCAACGGCCCACGGAGCAGCTCCCCCCACGCGGTCCCAGCCCTAGCGGGCGTGGAAGCTCGTTTCCTGGGCAACCCTTCTCCACTGCGAGGCTCACCCCGACCGCCAAAGCCGCTGGCCGGACGAGGCTGGACGGGGCAGCCGCCATCCCCAGGTCGGGTCCTCCAGGCTCTCCGCCTCTTCCCGCCCGCGCAGCCCCGCACCCCGGCGCAGATATCCCCCAGGAAGTGGCGAGCCTCTCGGGGCAGCCGGGCGAAGCAGGAGGCGCGTCTCCGCGAGGACCTAAGTCCCGCAAAGCCTCGCAAAGAGCACAGCGCCTGACAGGCGAGCCGGCGGACTCAGGGCTGAAGTCCAACCTGAGGCTGCAGGGCAGCGCGGCCCCACCCCCTGGCAGGCCCCGCCCCGCCAAGCCCCGCCCCGCCAAAGCCCCGCCCCGCCGGTGACTCCGCCCCGCCCGCGGCGCCCTCCTCGGCCCCGGTCCGGCAGCCCCGGCTCCGCGCGCCCCCGCCCTCCGCGCCGCCGTGGCCCCTCGCGCCTGGCTGGCTGCCCGCGGGCGGGCCGCCCTGCCGCCTGCAGCCCACCTCCCTCTTAAAGCCGCGGCGGGAAGATGAGGTTGCGAGAGCCGCTCCTGGGCGGCAGCGCCGCGATGCCCGGCGCCTCCCTGCAGCGGGCCTGCCGCCTGCTCGTGGCCGTGTGCGCGCTGCACCTCGGCGTCACCCTGCTCTACTACCTGGCCGGCCGCGACCTGGGCCGCCTGCCGCGGCTGATCGGGGTGCCCACGCCGGTGCAGCAGGGCAGCTCGAGCGCCGCGGCCAGCGGGCAGCCGCCCGGGGAGCCCCAGCCCAGGGAGCCCCAGCCCGGGGGCGCCCGGCCGCCGCCGCCGCCGCGCGTCTCCGCGCAGCCTCGCCCAGGGCGCGACCCCGGCCCGGGCGCGGATTCCGAGCCCGGCCCCGCGAGCAACTTGACTTCGGTCCGGGTGGCCCCCGCCACCGCGCTGCCGCTGCCCGCCTGCCCCGAGGAGTCTCCGCGGCTTGGTAAGGACTCCGCCTGCGCCTTGCGAGGACGGGCTTCCCCGCGCTTCTCGGCAACGATGGCCCGGGCGTCCCCCAGCCGCCCGCACGGCTGCAGCTCCTTGTTCCGGGTCACAGTGCCGAATCCCAGAGAGGCCCGCGCTGGTGCACCGGAGGGGCTGGGTGGTGTCGTCTTGGAGGCTGGAGCCCCGACCCCAAGGGAAGCTGTCTGGTCACCTCTGGCCATAGGAACCAGAGAAGGCCGGGGAGACCTCCCTGCTCTGGGCCAGGAAGTTTTGGAGTTTGGGGCTGCTTAGGAGCAGTCTTGCCATGTGAACTCTAGAAGGAAACTTAAGCAGAGAGAGCCACTGTTAAAGAGTCCCGAGAGGGGACCAGAGTTGACCTATCCAAGTCTGTCTTCTCACGTGCGTTAACTTTTTCTAAAGCCTCTGGGCAAGGGCCTTCACTTCTCGCTAAACCTCCGTTTCTTTTCTGGTAAATGGAGGTAATAAATTGTGTCTATTAGAGGACTGTTTTCAAGAGTAAACGAAACAATGTAAAAAGGGTTTAATTAACGAGGGTAAACTCGCAGTTGTTACTGTTGTGTTCATTTCCTCCTCTGTGTAGATAGATCCCTGCCCCTCACCCCCAGCTTCCTCCTGTAGGTTCCCCAAACCCCAGTGAGTGGGGCCCTCTCAGGGGCAGCTGAGTCGTGTACCCTGGGGGCTGGAGGGCTAAAATGTAACCAGTCAGCCTGGCCTTGCCTCCTCCCTGCACTGCCAGCCCAGATGATCCAGCCCAGCCTTTAGCCTGTTTCAACATAGGCAGGAAGCTGGGGAGGTGGGTTTACATTCCTAGGTCAGGAGGCTGAGTCCTGCCGGGACCTCTCCTTGACCTGTAGCAGGCAGCCACAGGTTGCTTCCCGGGTTGAAGACAGGTGGCTGCTCATTTCTGATGCCAGATTTTAAAGAATGTTGTTCTGGGTGAGGGGCCCTGGCAAGCTGGCAGGCAGACAGGCAGGCATGCTGCCAACTGCTCTGTCACGTTCCGGAGAGCCCTGGCAGAGCCAGCCTTTCTACATGCTCTTGCTCAACTTCTGCAATACTTCAGTGTTTTCGTATCAGATTCGGAGAGACCTCCTGGAATAGGTCTGACGGTGAAGTGTAGTAAAGAGGGGGCCTTTGCTTGAAGGCAGAAAATTGAAATCTTTTGGACTTGATAGTTAATCTGGGAAGCAGAGTGGTCTGCTATATCTTTGCTGCGGTGCTAAATGTCTTGACTTGTTCTAGTTTTTTAAAGCGTTTTTTCGTCATGTGTCAAGTGGACACATACCTTACAGAATTATTTTTAGGACTGAGATTGTGAACATTAAATACATGGCACCTACGTAGTAGCACTCAGTACTTGACAGCTAAAACTAATGTAGTAATATGGTTTGTCAAAGACCTTAAAGTTCCATTTTGTCAGGCTCTCCTGAAAATCGCCCTGAGCAGTAGAGAGGGTGGAGAAAGAATTCCCAGAACATAAAGAGACTAAGTTTCTTGCTTTTGTTTTTGATCATTGCTTAGGCATGTGCAGAAAGAAAAATTAATGCATAAATTAAAGTGCCCCAGAATTTATTAGATTGTTGTTTGGGGTGTAGGGTCTTTTTGATGAAGTCTGACAGTGGTGACAGTAGTTCTGCTGTGTTTTATAACATGGTGTGCTAGTGACCAACCTACTATCAGTTTGTGGTATTGCTAAATCAATCCTGAAATAGTCTGCTGGGAAGGACTTCTTGAGCAGTACATTTTAGAGGGTGTGTAGAGAGGTCCGAGACCTTCTCTGGTTTTGCTGCTTTCATGTGACTTACATGAAACTGTGAAATTTAAGGCTGCTGCCGAGATGGCAACCCGAGAAAGGTAGAAAGAAGTCTTTGCTTCATTTTAGTTGAGCCTGTAGGTTTGAGTGATTGGGTGCAACTCTTAGAGTGGAGGTTCCTGGCCAGAAGGGGTCTTGAGAAAGCTGAAAGTCTGCCTGGGAGTGTGTGGGCTGGGAGTTGAACCCATCTGTTCAACTGGGCAGGTGTCAGCCAAAGCCTGTGTGGGGTGGTTTTGAGGTTGATGGGAGAAAGCATCCTTGGGGTTTAGAATTGTGGCTTTTTCACTACTTGTAGTTCCTTTCCCCAGCCTCGCTCTACTTTCTGGTGTCCAGAGGTCTGGGCCAGATGCTTTGCTTTGATCCCTCTTAGCTCAAAGCTGGTGAGTTTAAGGTTGTAAGACACCATACTGGGTTACTGATGGGGCACTGTTTGATTTGTCCATGGGTTGTGGAAGCATTGGAAGAGATTTCCAAAAGGTTGGGTTAGAATTCCTCTCTGTGTATACCAGCTGTGTGATTCAGGGCAGGTGTGGCAGGTGGTAACGCTTAGTGTGAGGCCCCCTGGAGTATGTGCTAAGAGGAGGAAGTAGGGCTTTTTCTTCAAGGAGTTCCGCCCAGGTGGTGTGGGTCTCCTTATAACAGCTGCTCCTGTCTTAGGTTTGCAGGAGTCCATGCAGGCTCTACTCTACTGACCCTGGCAGTGAGGCCTCCTTTGTGGCCACCTGGGTATTTGCCTGAGATGGGAGGAGTAGCAGCCTTGTAATTCTTTTCCCGGAATGTTTATCTCTGCTCAGATTTGGCGGCAGCTCAACATGATTTGACTGGCTGTGGTACAGGCAGTCTGAAGAGAGGTGGAGTGGGGGAGGTGGGCAGCACATCAGACTGGACTGGAGGAAGGCAGGGCTGTCTGGGGGCTTAGCTGGCACATGGTAGTTGAGTGCAGTTCCTTCAAGTGGGTAGGGAGTTAGTCCTGAACTGCTTTAGCCCCAGAGGCCCCTTCTTACCTGGCGTGCTTTGAGGAAACAGCCCTCATTTGTTCAGGAAATAAGAGACTTATCCAAAGGTGAGTACCTGGGCCAGCATACAGCAAGGATAGGTGGCCAGGGCTCCAGGAGTTCGCTTGTTTGTAAGTCAGTTTCTCTGGCTCTACTGTGGTTTACGCTGATGGAAGACAAAGCACTCGTTAGGTCTCTGCTGAGTTTGTTCTGTCGGTACGTTGTCCACTATTCCCATTTGTACACACATGGACACAAACAGGCTGCATAGGCAAAGTATATTTTGAAGCTTGGGAAAGGACTCTTTCTTGCCTACTCAGTTTGGGGTAAATCTTAAGAGTCTTATCACCTTCCAACTTGGGGTGGAATCTCATCCTGGGTGTTGGAGGAAACAGATATTCACCTGTTTAAGTCTTGAAGATTTGAGTTTAGACAACCAGTCATTTTTATCAGTTTTTTTTCCTGTTGCTTTTTTTTGGGGGGGGGGGAGGTGACAATTTGTTGATATACACAGAGCTATTCTTTGTTTACCAGACTGAGATTCAGAAATGCCCTCAGGCTTGGTTAGTTTTCTCTTGTTGCTGACACAGAATACTCAACCCTCAAGACTGAAGGAGGAAAGGTATATTTAGCACATAGTTTACAGAGGTTTCAGTACATAATCAACTGACTCCAAGGCAGAGTGTGGCCTGAGGGCAACATTCATGGTGCCAGAAGATAGCAAAAACAGCAAGAGCAAAAAGGAGCGAGAGAGCAAGCCTCTTTCTCTCCTCTATGCTGTATGCAGATTACCCACCCAAGGCTGGATGTAGCACTCATACCTGTCTTCCTGGCACTGGACCATGAATCAATCACAAATTCTAGAAGCGCGTCTTCATGTCTGCATGGAGCTTTGGGGAAGACACCTAAATACAAACAGTAACATTCCACCCTGGGCCTCCTAAAGACTCACACACATTTCTTTATGCAAAAGATGTTTTAGTCCATCTCTAAGAGTTGCCAGAGTCCTAACAGTTTCAGCATTGCTAAAAAGTCCGAGTCTCAAGTCGCCTCCAAGAACTAAGGCAAACTCTTACCTGTGAGCCCCTATACCTGAAAAATTGAACACTTCCAACATTCAATGGCACAAGATAAACATTACCATTCCAAAAGCTACAAACAGGGATACAGAGGACTGAGATCCAAGCAAGTGCAAAATCCAGCATGTACAGTGTCCAGCGCAACCTGTGGCAGATTGTGAGCTTCGAAAGGCTTGGGTGACTCCACCCCTATAGCACTGCATGCAACTGTAGCTCCCACAGTTGTCTCTTGGGCTTATTCTGCTTCCTCTTTGCAAGTTTCCTTAGATGATCCATATTTCTGATTTTTCCAAACTTCTAGGGTCTCCACTGCACCTTTGGCTTCACCCTTACTTACATCTTAAGACATTGCCCTCTTGAGGGTGCACTGCCTGGCCTCTCAGGCCGTCTTCTGAAATCTGAGTGGAAGCCCCTTTAACCTCAGAATGCTCGTATTGTACCTGTACCTAAAACCAGCACCATGTAGATGATATCAAGGTCTGCTGCCAGCTGGTGCAGGAGCCAGACTAGCTTCTCTTGGTTGTAAGGCCTGTGTGCCTGGATTGCTGAGCACTCCAGATTCACTTCTGAGAAATAAGTTTTCTAGGCCACTGCTATTGTGGAACATGGTGCTCTGCAGCTTTCTCCTCAAAACAGTCTTTCACTTTTGTAGTTTTGAGGCTGCAAAGGGTGGAGTCCTGTTGCTTCTTGTGACACCCCGAGGCTATCTTTCCTATTTTTCCTCTGTTGCTTCTCAGCAATCAAGATCTCCTCAGCTCTACCTTTGCAGTCAGTAGCTTTTATTTTGGACAGACTCAACATTTTAAATCATTCTACTGGGCTCTTTGCTCTTGGTTCTCAATATAAATCTGGCTAAGGGGCCAGGAATTTAGCTCAGCGGCATAAGCACCTGCCTTGCAAGAGCGAGGTCATGAGTGTGATCTCCGTTACTGGGAATAAAAAAATAAATAAATCTATTTGGCTAAAAGCCTCCAACAATAGCCATGCCACCACCATGACATTAGACTGCCTTGAAATTTCTTCTGCCAGATTAGTTAGTTCTCTGCCTTTAATTTAGTCTCAGGCAAAATCTCCAGACATCAGCAAAATG